TAAAGTTAAAAAAAAAAAGAATATAATAGCAAGTTTATAAATTATCAGTTAAACGAAAATTCGTTAAAGTCGGGATTTTCTCTACATATATATATATATATTTGAAATCGGATTAAGAGGCCATCGAAGCAGTTGTTCAGAGAAGGAAAGGGGATCAAAGTTTGCTGGTAAAGTTTGAAACTCCATCAAGCCAGGAAAGCCTCAAACCAAGCTTTAGGTGTTCAATTGGTCAGTTCATTTTGGTGATCCCGTTGGACTCTAATTTATCACAAGTGTTGCAATAAATGTCCTATTGTATGTTGCAATACGTTTCATCGGCTAAATGACTCGTAAAATTTGCAATTTAGCAAAACCACATCATTTTGGTTGACATTTTACAACCATTTTAACTCTCTACTCTGCATATATTTTCTCATTTTCCAATTACTATATCTTTTCATATATATATATATAAATGAATACAAATTTCAAATATTTTCCTAATTATTTTTTTTATAGATTAATAACGAAGAAATAATTATGATTTTATCACAAAAAAATTATTTCTCTCTAAATTTAATTATTTTATAAAAATTAAATATTAGTATTATTATTAAAATATTATTACTATTATTATTATTATTATTATTATTATTATTAATATTATTATTATTATTAATATTATTATTATTATTAATATTGTTATAATAACTATTCTTTTGTTTGTTTTTTTTCTTTTTTTTCTTTTTAGGGTTCCGTACTGGGTTCGGAACCCTATTAATATCGGTTTTTTTAAAATCGTGTCCCCCCCCCCCTAGCGGACACACGAATTTATCTGGAGGGCTGAAATTTGGTACACATATGTATTTTCGCGTGTAGATTACAGGAAAAATATAGCGAACCTGATAGGAATTGATTATCATAGCGTTGTCAAGGAAAAATCATGAATTTTTACGAAAAATGCCTAAAAATGACTATGTACCCCTCCCCCCCTAGCGGCCACATCTTTTGACATAAAGAGCTCAAATTTGGCACACTTATGTATTTTAACCTGAAAATTACAGGAAAAATATAGCGAACTTGATTCAGATCAATTTACATAGCGTTGTCAAGAAAAAATCAAAAATTTCGAGAAAAAAATGATTTATTCTCCCTAGCGCACACAATATTCAACCCAAACTGTTCATATTTGCTGTAAAACTGTATTTTTGCGTGAAAAATACAGGGAAAAAATGTAAGCGCGATTGGAGTTAATGATCAATTTTTATGAATTTTTTTTGAAGAAAAATGATAAATTTAAGAAAAAAATGACAAATTTTTAAAACGCCTGACTTAATATTTACTTGTATTACTAATAAAATTACAATAATTTATAGTCTGACTAAATATTTACTTATGCTACTGATTTTCTATTTCAATTATGATGTCTGCCCAACAACTGACTTTTACTACTGATTTTCAAAATTAGCCTTTAAGTCTGACCCAAAACCGAGTTGTACACTAAAAAATTTTTAAACAAAAAGTCTGACTAAATATTTACTTTTACTACTGTTTTCTAATTTCAACTTCAGGTCTGACCAAAACCGATTTGATCTACTAATATAATACAAGAAATTGAATTAAATATTTACTTACACTACTGAAAAAATGACAAACTTTTAAAACGCCTGACTTAATATCTACTTATACTACTAATAAAATTACAATAATTTATAGTCTGACTAAATATTTACTTATGCTACTGATTTTCTAATTCAATTATGATGTCTGCCCAAAAACTGACTTTTACTACTGATTTTCAAAAATAGCCTTTAAGTCTAACCCAAAACCAAGTTGTACTACTATTTTTTTTTCAAAATATAAAAAGTTAGTCTAACACAAAATTTGTCTTACCAATAAAATTACAAAAAAAAACTATAAAGTCCGACTAAACATTTACATTTACTACTGATTTTCAAATTCAGTCATTATGGCCGATCAAAACCGAGTTTTGTCACTAAAAAAAAAATTTTTTAAACAAAAAGTCTGACTAAATATTTACTTTTACTACTGTTTTCTAATTTCAACTTCAGGTTTGACCAAAACCGATTTGATCAACTAATATATTACATAAAATTGAACTAAATATTTACTTGCACTACTGAAAAAATGACAAACTTTTAAAACGCCTGACTTAATATTTACTTGTTCTACTAATAAAATTACAATAATTTATAGTCTGACTAAATATTTACTTATGGTACTGATTTTCTAATTCAATTATGATGTCTGCCCAAAAACTGACTTTTATTACTGATTTTTAAAATTAGCCTCTATGTCTGACCAAAACCGAGTTGTACTACTAATTTTTTTTTTCAAAATATAAAAATTTAGTGGAACACAAAATTTGTCTTACCAATAAAATTACAAAAAAACTGACTAAACATTTACATTTACTACTGATTTTTAAATTCAGTCATTATGGCCGATCGAAACCGAGTTTTGCTATTAAATTTTTTTTTTTAAAGTCTGACTAAATATTTACTTTTACTACTTTTTTCTAATTTCAACTTTAGGTCTGATCAAAACTACTAATATATTACATAAAATTGAACTAAATATTTACTTGTACTACTGAAAAAATGACAAACTTTTAAAACGCCTGACTTAATATTTACTTGTTCTACTAATAAAATTACAATAATTTATAGTCTGACTAAATATTTACTTATGCTACTGATTTTCTAATTTAATTATGATGTCTGCCCAAAAACTGACTTTTACTACTGATTTTCAAAATTAGCCTTTAAGTCTGACCCAAAACCGAGTTGTACTACTAATTTTTTTTTCAAAATATAAAAAGTTAGTCGAACACAAAATTTGTCTTAGCAATAAAATTTTGAGTTGATGATCAATTTTTTATTCAATTTTTTGAAGAAAAATGATAAATTTAAGAAAAAAATGTGTTTTGCAGCAAAAAACGAAAAAAGTTTATCTAAAGTGATTCATATTTTGACGTATTTTTACGTGTAGATTACAAAAAAAAAGTATAGCGAGGATGATTGGAGTTGATTTTTCTAAAGCTGTCAAGAAAAAACTGATAATTTTAGAAAAAATCACGAATTTTCTCCCAATAACGGAAAAAATTTTTATCTAAAGGGCTTCAAATTTACTATTTTTACGTATTTTTATGTGTAGATTATAGAAATAATTTAATAAACATGATAAGAAGTGGAAACAGTGGACTTTTTTCTTAAGTTTATTTCTTCAGTCGTTATAATTCTAAAATAAAATAGGGGGTTCTTTATGTTCATTTTATAAAAATTTGCGTTCCTCGCTGAGAAAGCAATAAATTTCTTTAACTCATTTAAGTGATTTAAATGATTTAAATTCAATTAAAACGTAAAATGTAAATACAATAAAAATATTGCGAATTGAAATAAAATTATGTTTCTTATATTTTTTTAGTAAAATATTTTTTATAAAATAAAATCGAGGGTTCCGTACTCGAAGCGAACTTATTTGGTATAAAAACAAATGTTTAAAAAATATGTGTTGTATGTTAAATAATATATGTGATACAAAAAGGAACAATTTTTTAAAAAAATTTAAGAAAATTGTTCCTCTGGTATAAAAACAAAAAAAAATTTTAAATATGTGTTGTATTTCAATTAATATAAGTGATACGAAGAGGAACAATTTTGTAAAATTTTTTTTCTTTTTTAAATGATTTGTCAGTTTTTTTCCCTTTTATGCAGGTACATATAGCTATTATATTTGGATCTTTATTACATTTACAAGACAAGAGATAATTTGTAATTGTGTTATAAATTTTGAATGTCGCGTTGATTAAGTGTCAATTCTGTAAAGGCTTTTGTATAAGAAAAGTTGAATAACAATAGAGGTGTGCACATTGAAAGCTATTCTAAGAAAGTTTCCATTTTGGCAAACAATATTAAGCACGACAAGATGAATGTAAAGTTAGATGAAATTGTTACTGCTTCAATTGAATCACTTAGAACAAATTCAATCTCCACTTGGAGAACATTAAGAAAGTTTAAAAGGAGAGAGCGAGAGAGAGAGAGAGAGAGAGAGATTTCTTCCTTGTTTCAATCGACTTGTAATTATCAGACAGTCGATTGCAATTTACGTCAATTACTTTATAATTCCTTCTATATTACCTCCAATATATATTTTTTGATCTTTAACAATGATATCAGAAAAAAGAAATATAAAAAAATTTTAATTCTCAAATTTTTACTTTTAAATAAATTTATTAATAATTTTAATTTTTATAATAAATTTAAAAAATTTATTTATTTATTAATATATAAAATAAATAATAATAATAATATTAAAATATTAAATTTAGAACTGTAAATTATTAATTGTTATAGATTAATAAAATTATAATTTTACTTACACTATTTTTTAAAGGAAATAAAAATCTTAATTAGTAGAACATTTTTACAGAAATAAAAAAAAAATTAATCTAAAGAGAAAATTTGGTAATTTATATGGTAATAATAATTTATTACCGATTTTTTTTTTTTTTTTTTTAATATTAACATTATACTTTTCATTGGCAATTATTATTTTAATTATTATGAAAAATTTTGTGAACAATTTGAATATAAATTTCTTCATCATCGACTTTAAAATAAATTGACAATTTTCATAAAACTGTCTATTTTAGGAGTTTAATATTTTCATGAAAAATACAAAAAAAAAAAAGTCATTTATTATACAAATTTTTATATTATAAAATTTGAGTTAAATTTATTTATCGATCATCAACTTTACGTGCCTTATTAACAATTCAACGAGAAAATAATTTTTTTTAAAAAGTAATAAATACAATTAAAAATTTATTTTCAGTCATAAAAATTATATGTAAAACAAAAATAATTTTTTTTTATATTAAAACTAGAAATTTTTAATAAATGATGATAAAAAAATTATTTAAAAAAAATTATAATATAAAAATCAATTTAAAAAAGGAAATGTTTTTTAACAATAAATTTTTTTTTTTGTTTGAACAGTAATGGGAGGAGAGAGGTTATGGTGGACATGGGGAATGGCACGTGGAACCATACCAAATACAAGTCTTTTAATTGCATCTACGGAATCGTTTTGGAACGCCTCTATCGAACAAGAGGCCTTCAACGTCACAGAGAATTTAACTTGGTACAACCCCGGTAATTTCTCCGAGGAGAAACATGATTTTCTCCTCATGATAGTGACCGCCAGCTTTCTCGCCCTTCTCATTCTAATCACCATTATTGGTAAGTAATATATTTTCATCAAAAAAAAAAATACTTTTAGTTTTAAAAAGAAAATTAGGGGAATTAAAACAAAAATATATTTAAAAAAAGAAGAGTATATTGAAATAATTAATAAATTATAATATATTATAATATAATTATAATAATTATAATAATTATAATAATCAATAATTCAGTTTAATGAAATATTAATTAATTAAAAATTAAATATTTGTTAAAATTAATAATTTATTACTTTCTTTTTTTTTTGGAGTAAAATTCAATTTATTATATCATTCTTTAAAAATGACGAAAAAAGAAATAAAAGTTTTTTTTTTCTGAATCGAAGAGAATGAGGGCTAATTAGAATTTAATAGCTGGCGATTATGCAGACAATTCTCTACCTTCACGAGAATTTCTATTCAATAACCAATTACTGTTTTATGAAAGCAATTTGACACTTTCATTGTTCGTTCAAAAAGAAATTGAACGGGAAGAAAAATGTAGCATACTAAAATATAATATTGACGATGTGAAAATTTAACTATGAATAGAGTCACGTTATTTGTTAATTACATATATATAACAGTTCAATAATTATATATAAACAAAATTAATTAAACTTTTGTCTGACTCAAAACAGACTTGTACTACTGACGACAAAATTACAAATGTTTAGAACGTCTGACTGAAAATTTACATGCACTACTGATTTTTTAATTTTTTTAATGTCTGACTGAAACCGATTTGATCTACTAATAATATAACAAAAAAAATAAGAAAGACTGACTAAATATTGATATTTACTACTCATAAAATTATTTTTAAAAATTTCAGTCTTAACATTTACTTTTACTACTGACAAAATTACAAATATATGTGTGACTAAATATTTACGTCTGCTACTGATAAAACAAAAATTTAAAAGGTCTGTCTAAATATTTACTTTTACTACTGTTTTCTAATTTCAACTTTAGGTCTGACCAAAACCGATTTGATCTACTAATATATTACATAAAATTCAACTAAATATATACTGACATTACTGAAAAAATGACAAACTTTTGAAACGCCTGACTTAATATTTACTTGTACTACTAATAAAATTACAATAATTTATAGTCTGACTAAATATTTACTTATGCTACTGATTTTCTAATTCAATTATGATGTCTGCCCAAAAACTGATTTTTACTACTGATTTTCAAAATTAGCCTTTGAGTCTGACCCAAAACCGAGTTGTACTACTATTTTTTTTCAAAATATAAAAAGTTAGTCGAACACAAAATTTGCCTTACCAATAAAATAACAAAAAAAAACTATAAAGTCCGACTAAACATTTACATTTACTACTGATTTTCAAATTCAGTCATTATGACTGATCAAAACCGAGTTTTGCTACTAAAAAAAAAAAATTTTTAACAAAAAGTCTGACTAAATATTTACTTTTACTACTGTTTTCTAATTTCAACTTTAGGTCTGACCAAAACCGATTTGATCTACTAATATATTACATAAAATTCAACTAAATATTTACTTACATTACTGAAAAAATGACAAACTTTTAAAACGTCTGACTTAATATTTACTTGTACTACTAATAAAATTACAATAATTTATAGTCTGACTAAATATTTACTAATGCTACTGATTTTCTAATTTAATTTTGATGTCTGCCCAAAAACTGACTTTTACTACTGATTTTCAAAATTAACCTTTATGTCTGACCCAAAACCGAGTTGTACTACTAATTTTTTTCAAAATATAAAAAGTTAGTCGAACACAAAATTTGCCTTACCAATAAAATAACAAAAAAAACTATAAAGTCCGACTAAACATTTACATTTACTACTGATTTTCAAATTCAGTCATTATGGCCGATCAAAACCGAGTTTTGCTACTAATTTTTTTTTTTTTAAAGCCTGACTAAATATTTACTTTTACTACTGATAAATAATAAATATAATATAAAATTGAAAATAATTCATCTAATGCAAAAAAAAATTTAAATTCTCAACCTAAATTTCTTTTTCTCCTTTTTTTCTGAGTTGAATGAACTGTGAACCACACAAAAAACGAACTGATATAAAGTTTGAGTATATATAGAAGTTCTAACGTCGTTGTTTCTTGCAACGATATATAGAGCATCAACTTCCTGGAGTCTTTGGAAGGGCAAAAGACTCGTGTTCAGTAAAGAAATTTCGCGAGAGTTCTCACCGGGGAGCTACTTTTTTCACGTTGGGTTTTTTTTTTCCTTTTTTTTTCTTTTACCTATTTTTCTTATTCTCCTCTCACTTTTTTTTTGTTGATCCTTTCTTTTTCTTTTTATGTTTTTGGTAAAAGCAAAAAAAAAAAAAAAAGAAAGAAAGAAATGAATTAACACAACTTTCTATCATTTTTTCTAATGTGGTGAAATGCTAATGTACAACTATATAGATATAGCAAAAAAAAAAATCTTCCTTTTTGAGGGGAGTTGAAAACTACACTTTTTCTCACTCAGAGGTCATTTAAACTAAGTGCCACACTATTTTCCATTATATGATGGCACTTTTAATTTTTCACGAATATTACTTCTTGTTTAGATTTGCCAAAAAAAGAAAATTCATATAAACAAGAATTATTGCATTTAACTTTTTTCATTTCCGTCAGATTCTTAAGGTTTTTTTTTTACTTTATTGAATTTTTTTTTATTTGTAATTTTTTTTCAAACATATTTTGATTTTTTTATTCCAATAAAAATCAATTTTTACTGTCAGTAGTAAAAGACAAATTCAGTCAGCCAACTTTCCGTTTCTTCCGAATTAAGAAATTTAATTCTTCATTAAAAATTGCAAAAAAAAATTTTATAAATTAAAATTGTTTACAAAATATTTGTTAGTTAATTGATTAAACAATTAATTAAATAGTTAATCAATTACTTAATTAATAATTATTAGATAAATTAGCCAAAAAAAAATATTTAATTTAGTTTCTTTCCCCTTAATTGTCGGGTGTTTTTTTTTATCAATGAGAAATTGTGTGCTAACAGGTTCTCTCTAATAATGTTAGAGGGAGAGAGGGAGATGGGTCGACAAAAAATATTGAAACTGCTTTGTAATTAATGTTTTGGTACTGATAATAGTTGGCATAAGAAGTTGAATCCAGTTACGTAATTTCCAAAGAACGAAGGCCCTCATTAGTGTTGACCTTGTGGGACAATTAATGCGCGCTATTTTCTCCTCTCGTGTGCGCGCAATATTCACATTTCTTGTGTTTTATGTTGTTGCTATATTTAATTAAACAAGAAAAATGTTGGAACACAACATTCAACAATTAATGTTTTCCATTTTAAGACGTGGCGACATTTTATATACACGTTTAACTAATTAATTTCCAAGACGTTTACATCACGCTGAAATTACTTTTTTTTTTTTTTTTTTTTAGAAAAAAACATCAAATCATTTACAAATGTTGATTAAATTTTAATTAAAATATTTTAATTACATATAATAATTGTAATTATTTATTTTTTTATTCTAATAATAAATAAATAAATGAATAATTATATTTTAATTAAAATAATTATAATATTTTAGTTGAAATAATTATAATATTTTAATTAAAATATTTATAATATTCTAAATTAAAATAATTCTTTTTTAATTGAAAAAAAAATTATAATATTGTAATTAAAATAATTATAATATTTAGATTGAAATAATTATATTTCATTTAAAATAATTATAGAATTCTAATTTTGAATTACTGATAATTTATTAATTAATATAGTTAAACATTAATTAATAATAATAATAATTAAATTAAAATTGATAATTATAGTGTTAATTTTATTAACATAATTTGATGATTGAATTTCTTTATATTAATTATTATGGCTGAAACCCGTGAGATTAAATTTAATTTTGGTTCAATCAACTGTCGGATAATAAGGTTCGGTTTGCACAATTGCAATATCAATCAGATTGTTATCTCTTTGAATATGTAATTACGGTGTTCTGAGCGCGAAGGGATACATTAATCAGGAGAATCTGAGATGACTCAATCGAGTTTGTAACGGCACACTATAAATTCCAAATCTCTCTCTCTCTCTCTCTCTCTCTCTCTCTCTCTCTCTCTCTCTCTCTCTCTCTCTATTTATATATATATATAATGTCGAACTTTAGAAAAAAAATTATTTCATTTCACGATTTATTGCTTCTTAGTCAAAAATAATTTTTATTTCTCCCTCTTAAAAATTTTTTCTCTTTTCATATTTATACAGAAAAAAAATATTTCCATTCTTAGAAACATTTGAGAAAAAATCGAATACTTATTATTTGGAAAATTTTAAATAAAAATTATATAAAAAAAAAATTTTAATACAATTTTGATGTTTTTCTTTAAAATAAAAAAAAAATAGAAAATAGGTTTATTACAATTTTATCCTCATATCTTTCACTGTATTGAGGGTAATAACTTGGCAGCTTTTGATACTTAATATCATAAAAAAAAAGTTTTTTAAAAGTTCTAATGTTCAATGCTTTGGAAAATAGTCTTGAAGTTCAGCTGCTGTACTTTTCTCGTTTTAAGTGTAACGTCATCGCAAGAAAAAGTTTTTCATATATATATATATATATATATATATATATATATATATTGAATGTAGCCACATTTCTTGCGTAAACTGTGAGACAAAGTTCATAACTCAGATCCTTCAGGGATTTTTATAATCGCACATCACAAGATGAAAAATGTCCCTTTGAATATTTCACTCTTCTTCATCCTTCTATATCTTCAATATATATATATATTTTTTTTCACTATTTCCTATAATTGAAAACGTGATATTTTTTCTTGATCAAAAATAAATTTTACTGTTAATAAGATATAATATATTATTATTATTATTATTATTAATATTATTATTATTAATATTATTATTATTATTATTATTATTATTATTATTATTATTATTAATATTATTATTATTATTATTATTATTATTATTATTATTATTATTTAAAATAAGTAAATAGTTTTTT